AAAAAAAAAAAAAAAAAAGACTAGTAATGGCAATTCAAAATAATGAAAACCATCGTCACAATAAAATAGCTTTGAAAATATTTCAAGTTATTAAAGAATAACACTTTAGCAAAATAAAGATAATTTGAACTTTAAAAATTTCTAAGAAGTCCATGATCAAAACTGGCAACAATGAGGTATATTTACATAATACTTTTTGGACTTTATAAATTATGAATAATCAATCTACCTGCATTTTGGTCTCAAAGAATATCACTCAAAACGACAGAAAAATTCAGACTGGTTTTGTCCTTTGCTAAAGTGAAATGCTTTTGAATTAGTCAAATAATTTCTGAGGATCTTTAGCTTATAAAATTAAACCATTATTATATAAAATATTATTTGTTTAAAATTCTGAGACTGAAGTATCTGAAAATCTGTGGCAAGTTTGTTTAAATGAAGACACTCAAAGTTTACTTGAAATACATAATTTAACAGACTTATGCAGAAAGCTGTAAGACCTTTCAATAGTCCAGAAAAATCATTTGGCAGAATTCCACACTCATGCATGTTAAAAAGTAGAAATAGAAAATTTCCTTGATATAAATGAGAGGATCTAGGAAAATTTACAGCTAACGTAATGAATGTAGACGACTGGATGTTTTGCCTCTGCTATGCTACGTGAATATGTACCACATTAATTCATTATGAAGCTCTAACCCCAGAGGATGTTACAGGAATAGCAGATCTTTGGAAGGTAATTAGATCGATTCATGAAGGTTCCCTCATACTGGGTTAATGCCCCATTAAAAGAGTAGAGGAAACAGAGGATCTTCATCTCTGTTCTCCATCATGTAAGGACTGGAGGAGAAGACAGCTGTCTGCAAACCAGGAAGAATTTAGATCTGCCAAGACCTAAGTCATGGACTTCCTAAAATTCAGACCTTTGAGAAAGAAGAATTTATTTAAGCCACCCAGTCCATGTATATCTGTTAACAGTACCCCAGAATGACCATGATAATCACTGTAATTGTGAACCAGCAAAAGCTATCTGACATTACAACTTCCATTCAACACTGTACTGGAAATTTTATGTATGATAGGAAAAAGAATAATAATAAAAGGAATACACTTTCAACAGAAGCCAACCTCCTTTTTAGATAACCAACATAATCATCAGAAAAGTACAAATAAAATTCTTAATGCAAATAAGAATTAATACAAAAATGAAAATGGGAACTATGGGAACTCATTTCTTGTTCAAAATGCAAGTAATAGAACATTTTGGAAAGCAGTTTCACCCTCTGTATTCTTTTTCACACCTGCAATTATAATATAATTCATCTATTCTAAGTATTTATCAAAAGCAATAAAACTATGTAATTGCATGAGTACCTGTATGTGGATATTCAGAGCAACTTTGTTTATAACTGATAATGTGTAAAAGTCCAATTGGCATCAACAGGTGAATGTAGAACAAGTTATAATGTACTCTAAAATAGCATAATACTTAGCAACAAAAATGAATGAACTAGCCGGGGATTTAGCTCAGCGGTTCGGTGGCCTGCCTTGCAAGCGCAAGGACCCGAGTTCAATCCCTGGCACCAAAAAAAAAAAAAAAATGAACTATGAATAATCCCAACAACATGAAAAATGTTGAGTGTGATGGGAACATTCTTTGCTTGGATTATAGTTATGGTTACACAAGTGTATATGTTCATCACAAGTCATTTAATTGAATGTGGAACTCAATAAGTTAATATAAAGAAGTAAAAATACAAATTAATGAGAAAATAAAGACCACATTTAATGCTAAGAGTTAAAGTAAGATTTAGAGTAAAGAGTTAAAGTTAATGGAAGTTTACTTAAGACAAAAGTTAGTGATGTAATCCTACATGGTACACAGGAAGTTACTGAGAGGGAGGAAACGTTATTATCCCTAATTTTAGCAACTTTTTTGAAAATAACAAATGTCAAAAATATAAAATGAGCAGACAGTGTAGAGTGTGTGAAAAACCTTGGGTTCATTTCCCAGCATGAAAGGAAAAGAAGAAAAAGAGAAAGAAAAGAAAAGAAAAGAGGGAGGGAGGGAAGAATCTGATTTGTTTTAAATGTTTTCTAAGGATTCCCTTTTGCTTGTTTACTAAGTGTGCGTCCATCCTCTTATTTTTCTATATATGTGTCTTTATATACAATTCTAAGTACTCAATATTTCCATACCTTTGGGAAGGTTCATTAATATATAATACATGATAAAGTTAGAATTCTGAAAATGTTTTTATTCATATTATTTGTTTCATAGAAACATTCACTTGATCCACTGTTGAACAGAACTCTGAAAATACAAATCATTGTGGACAAAGGCTTGGTATGTGTTACTTATATATTTCAATATATTCTTCAGTTTATGTTTAAATTCAAGTATATTTGTAGGAAAATCAGTTCTATTTTACTCCGTTCAAAATTTGTATCTCCCGTATTACCTCTACAATGACTTAGGGAAACTAATACTTATGTGTTGATTACCATGTGTACGCATACAGCAATAGTGTACAGAAGGGTTGTACCACACTGTAACCTAGTGAATCACATCTAGCTGCAGATATTTCTGAATCTACCTTAATAGTTGGTGAAAGATTCCTGCTCTAGATTAACCTGATTGATTTATTATTCAATTGATGATGTTTGTTTGATGTTATCTCTAATAATAGTGTATGTTTTATAACTTGCTTGAATTTTCTGGTAGGCGTGCCATATTTTAAAAATAGGAAGAATCATTGATAGGAAGATTCATTTGGCTCTGAAATGTGTTTATATAATATCAGTTTTAGCAAAGCCTTAACAGCAACTTTAAAAAACTGATTTGTTTATTATCATTGACCATTTGCCTAAGATCTCTCAAGGAGAGTCAAAAAGTTCTCTGTTTTGTTCATTTAAAAAAATGTGCATTCTTCAGTAATTTTTATCAAGATAATTATGGGAAACTGTGTATCAATGAAAAAATAAAGACTGAAAAAAGAAAATGATGAAAAAATATCTAATGTATTTCAATGAGAAATTATAAGCACATATTTCTGTTTTAAACATAGTTATGTGTACATATTGATATTTCCTTGTTTTTTATATATATATATATATATATATACACACACATATATATACACTAACATTAAACATTTATCCACGTGTTCATTAAATGTGTTATGACACTTAATGTTTACATAAAGCCCCATTAATGTAGTTAATATAGTGTATTTTACTAATTAAGACATATTTTAGGGAGACATTTGCATCTTCATCATTATTGCTATTACTTGAGGAATACTGGTATTTGGCCTGAAAATGGAACCACGAGAGTCTGAGTTATGCTGTGCTAAAGTCATTATGCAAATACAACCCGACAATGACTGACAACATTCTGTGGTTAAATTTCCTTTCCTTGTTTTTCAGTCTGTGTCTTTAGTTTTAAGCTATGGCTGTGGTGGACAGTGTATTGATAAGCCAGGGGGTTCTTTCCTTTTCTTCTATCTATAGTCAGAGGCAGTCCCTGCCTCTCTTTAGAACATGTCGTGAGTGGGTGTTGGAGCAGCATGACAACTAAGCACTCAGCTATTAGTGCTCATTATAAGTGATCAGTTGTTATTGCTCTGCTCTTTACCTCCCCTTGAACCTAGTGTATTATATTTAAAAACTTATGTGTAACCTCCATGTTGATTTCTTTCTAATATACCTCTGTATCTAGGTCTACATCCCAATTATTTCTCTGGAGGTAGATATTAGTATGTAAATTTATCATGATTTAGAATGAATTTCAAGCCATTTTAGATATAGTTTAAGAGCATTAAAACAATACAATTACATGTAAAGACAATGATTGCAATTTTGTGAAACTATATCTTATGGCTCCATTTTTTGTAAGCCATTGAATATGTTGATTAGCAAAACATTCAGTTGTTTTTTAAAGAAATGAAATTTAAAAAGTATTTTTCTTCACCTACTTGCTCTTTTTCTTTAATAGGACTGTATTTCTAATATTTATTTTTAGATTGTTGGAGTCTCTCTAGCATTTATTCAAATGAAGTTATCTTTACTTCATCTTCAGTTTTGTTTTCTGGGGGGAGGGTTTTTTTCTTTTGTTTTTGGTACCAGGGATCGAACTCTGGAACTTGCACTTGCACGGTAGATGAGCTAAATCTCCAGCCCTCCCCATCTTCAGGTTTAATCATTTTATTTGGAAATGATTTCAAACTTACAGTTTGCATTTATAATACAAAGAAAACTTCCCCTTTCTTTACCTATGATTATTGCAAATATTGTATCTCATTTTCTCGTGTGCTTTCTCCATTTGCAAGTTGAAATTTGTGTCATAAAGCTTGACTCTTAACTACTGGAAAACAGAATGCAGCAAATCATCAAGAAGAGTATACATGATAATCAAATAGTATTCATCCTAGAGATGCAGGGATTATTCAACAGATGCAAATCAATAAATGTAATGCACCATATCAACAGAGCCAAAGACAAAAATCACATTATAATCTCAACTGATGCAGAGAAAGCATTTGACGAAGTCCAACACCCATTCATGATCAAAACTCTACAGAAAATTGGAATAAATGGTCCTTATTTCAATCTGATAAAAGCCATCTATGACAAACCAATACCATATGAAATGAACAAAAACTGAAAGCTTTCACTCTAAAATTAGGGACAAGACAAAGATTTCCACTGTCACCACTCTTATTCAGTTTAATTCTGGAAACATTAACCAGAGCAATTAGATGAGAAAGAAATAAAAGGAGTAAGGATAGGAAAGCAAGAAGTTAAACGATCATTATTTGCAGATGACATGATACTCTACATAGAAGACTCCAAAAACTCCACCAAAAGACTTGTAAATTTAATGACCAAATTCTGTAGCATAACTGGATATAAAGTCAACATCTAAAAGTTAATGACCTTCTAATGAACAACAAACTCACTGAGAGAGAAATATAGCAAGCTACTAGGAATGAATTAAGAAGTATTGCCTCTCTTTCAATTTCATTAAAGAGTTTAGAGTAGTGGTGATAGGTCTTCTCTAAATGTCTTGTAGAATTCAGCAGTGAAGCCATCAGGACCTGGGCTTTTCTTTGTTGGTAATGTTTTAATTACGTTTCAATTTCACTGAATGTAGTTGGGGTGTTTAGACTTTTTATATCTTCTTTGTTCAACTTTGGAAGTTCATATGTATCTAGAAATCTGTCCATTTCTTCTGATATAGAGTACAGGTTTTCAAAGTGGGTATTGATGATCCTCTGGGTTTCTGCTGGATCTGCTGTGACTTCACCTTTTTTATACCTAATTGCATGAATTTGAGCCTTTTCTTTCCTTTTTTTTTTTTGATAAGGTTGGCTAAGGGTTTATCAATTTTATTTATTCTTTTGAAAAACCAACTCTTCGATTCATTGATTTTTTGAATAGTTCTCTTAGTCTCCATTGCATTAATTTCTGCTCTGATCTTTATAATTTCCTCCCTTGTGTGATCTTTCAGTTTGTCTTGTGCTTCTTTTTCTAGAAGCTTAAGGTCAAGCATTAGATTGTTTATTTGAGCTTGCTCTGTTTTCCTAGTGTGGGGATTTACTGCTATGAATTTCCCTCGTAGAACTGCTTTCATTGTGTCCCATGGATTCATGTATATTGTATTGGCATTATCATTTAATTATAGAAACTATCTAATTTTTTCTTTAATTTCCTCTGTGACTCAATGATTGTTCAGCTGTGTTATTTAATTTCCACACGTTTGTGAAGTTCTTGCAGTTTCTTAGGCTATTGATCTCCAGTTTAATTGCACTATGGTCTGATAATGTACATAGGATAGCTTCAGTTCCTTCGCATTTACTTATACATGTTCTATGAGCTAGCATGTGGTCTGTTTTGGAGGATGACCTCTGTGCAGCCAAAAAGAATGTATATTCTGATTATCTGGGGCATGACACTGTCTAGACATCTACTGAGTCTGTTTGTTCGAAGAATTGGTTCAGTTCTATTATTTCATTGTTGATTTTTTTGTCTAGATGCTCTGTCTGTGTCAGTGGAGTATTGAGGTACCCCATTCTGATAGTATTAGTGTTTATTTTGTTTTTCATATCCATTAATATTTGTTTTGTATAGTGGGAGACATTAGTATTCAGTGCATATATATTTATGATTAGCATTTCTTCCTCTTGTATTTTTCCCTTTACAAGGATGTAGTGGCCTTCTTTGTCTCTTTTAATTAGTTTTGGTTTGAAATCTATGCTATCTGCAAATAAGAGAGCTACCCACGGTTTTTTCTGGGCTCTCGTCACATGGAGAACAGTTTTCCATCCTTTTACTCTCACTCTATGAATTTCTTTGTGGATTAAGTGGGTTTCTTGTATACAGCATATTGTTGGATTTTGTTTCTTAATCCATTCTGCTAGCCTGTTTCTTTTGATTGGTGAATTGAGGCCATTAACATTGATGGTTATGACTGTTATGTATTATCTTTCCAGTGTCATGTTATTTTCCAGTTGTTGGTTCTTTTATTTTTTATTTTACCTCTTTACTTTTAATTTCTTGCCTTGCCTGGTATATTTGTTCTGTTGGGCCTTAAGGAGTTGCGGTCTTCATTTTCTTTTTCCAGGATATTGTTTAGAAGCGTTCAGAGCACTGGTTTGCTGTTCTTGAAATTTTTCAGGTGTTCTTTGTCATGGAAGTATCTTATTTCCCCATCCATTTTGAAAGATAATTTTGCAGGATACATCAGTCTAGGTTGGAGGTTGTTTTCTTTTAGGACTTGAAGTACATCACTCCAGGCTCTCCTTGACTTGAGGGTTTGTGTTGAAGTCTGCTGTGACTCTGATAGGCTTTCCTTTGCATGTGATTTGTTTCTTTGCTCTGCTGGTAGTATTTTCTTCTGTTGAGTTTCTGGGATCTTGACTATTATATGTTTATATGTAGATTTTTTTATCATGGCTTGTTGGAGTCCTATATGCCTCACTTATCTGTATGTCAAATTCTTCACCTCTGTTTGGGAAGTTTTCTGTCATTAATTCTGTGAACAGTTTTTTTTTTATGTCATTTGAACTTTCTCCTGCTACTTCATGGATTCCTATCAGTCTTATATTACTCTTCTTTGCATCATCTAAGAGTTGTTGGATTGATTTCGTATGGTCCTTTACTGTTTTTAAGAGATCTCTCTTTTCATGGTTATTGACCACAATCCTATCTTCTAGATCTGAAATTCTATCTTTACATTCATTCATCCTGCTGTGAATTCTTTCATAATGCTTTCTATAGTTTATTCTTCTGGTATCTGTTTGAATCTGTTTCATGGATTCCATTTCTTTCCAATGTTGGGCATTC